TTGGTGATGGTGATGATGGTGGTATTGGTGATGATGGTGGTGATGGTGGTAGTGATGGTGGTATTGGTGATGATGGTATTGGTGGTGATGGTGGTATTGGTGGTGATGGTGGTATTGGTTGTGATGGTATTATTGGTGGTGATGATGGTATTGGTGGTGATGATGGTGGTATTGGTGATGATGATGGTGGTATTGGTGATGATGATGGTGGTATTGGTGATGATGGTGGTATTGGTGATGATGGTGGTATTGGTGATGATGGTGGTATTGGTGATGATGGTGGTATTGGTGATGATGGTGGTATTGGTGATGATGATGGTATTGGCGATGATGGTATTGGTGATGATGGTGGTATTGGTGATGATGATGGTGATGATGGTATTGGCGATGATGGTATTGGTGATGATGATGGTATTGGTGATGATGGTGGTGGTGATGGTGGTGGTATTGGTGATGATGGTGGTATTGGTGAGGATGGTGGTGGTGATGATGGTGGTATTGGTGATGATGGTGGTGATGATGATGATGGTATTGGCGATGATGGTATTGGTGACGATGATGGTATTGGTGAGGATGGCGGTGGTGATGATGGTGGTATTGGTGATGATGGTGGTGGTGATGATGGTGGTATTGGTGATGATGATGGTATTGGTGATGATGGTGGTATTGGTGATGATGGTGGTGGTGATGATGGTGGTGGTGATGATGGTGGTATTGGTGATGATGGTGGTCAGTTTAACACGTAGGCTTTCGCGACCAATGTTATTCATAATCAACGATTTTTGGGTTTAGATCGCGTTTATTTATAAATGTGTCGTAACCCTCCACCACCCGACACGGCCAATCAGTAAAAATGTGTCACGTTGACAAAGACAAATAGTTCACTGCTTTAGCCCACCGGTGTGTTGAAGCAACAACATTTACAATTTGAGTACGACGTTTCGCTGGTAATTGCAATCAGCATCATTGTCAACGTGACACATTTTTACTGATTGGCCGTGTCGGGTGGTGGAGGGTTACGACACATTTATAAATAAACGCGATCTAAACCCAAAAATCGTTGATTATGATGATGGTGGTATTGGTGATGATGATGGTATTGGTGATGATGATGGTATTGGTGATGATGATGGTATTGGTGATGATGGTGGTATTGGTGATGATGGTGGCATTGGTGATGATGGTGGTATTGGTGATGATGGTGGTATTGGTGATGATGGTGGTGGTGATGGTGGTATTGGTGAGGATGGTGGTATTGGTGATGATGATGGTATTGGTGATGATGATGGTATTGGTGATGATGGTGGTATTGGTGATGATGGTGGTATTGGTGATGATGGTGGTATTGGTGATGATGGTGGTGGTGATGGTGGTATTGGTGAGGATGGTGGTATTGGTGATGATGATGGTATTGGTGATGATGGTATTGGTGATGATGGTGGTATTGGTGATGATGGTGGTATTGGTGAGGATGGTGGTGGTGATGATGGTGGTATTGGTGATGATGGTGGTGGTGATGATGGTCGTATTGGTGATGATGGTGGTATTGGTGATGATGATGGTATTGGTGATGATGGTGGTATTGGTGATGATGGTGGTATTGGTGATGATGGTGGTATTGGTGAGGATGGTGGTGGTGATGATGGTGGTATTGGTGATGATGGTGGTATTGGTGAGGATGGTGGTGGTGATGATGGTGGTATTGGTGATGATGGTGGTATTGGTAATGATGGTGGTATTGGTGATGATGGTGGTGGTGATGATGGTGGTATTGGTGATGATGGTGGTATTGGTGATGATGGTGGTATTGGTGAGGATGGTGGTATTGGTGATGATGGTGGTATTGGTGATGATGGTGGTGGTGATGATGGTGGTATTGGTGAGGATGGTGGTATTGGTGAGGATGGTGGTGGTGATGATGGTGGTATTGGTGAGGATGGTGGTATTGGTGATGATGGTGGTGGTGATGATGGTGGTATTGGTGAGGATGGTGGTATTGGTGATGATGGTGGTATTGGTGATGGTGGTGGTGATGATGGTGGTATTGGTGATGATGGTGGTGGTGATGATGGTGGTATTGGTGATGATGGTGGTATTGGTGAGGATGGTGGTATTGGTGATGATGGTGGTATTGGTGATGATGGTGGTATTGGTGATGATGGTGGTATTGGTGATGATGGTGGTATTGGTGAGGATGGTGGTGGTGATGATGGTGGTATTGGTGATGATGGTGGTGGTGATGATGGTGGTATTGGTGATGATGGTGGTATTGGTGATGATGATGGTATTGGTGATGATGGTGGTATTGGTGATGATGGTGGTATTGGTGATGATGGTGGTATTGGTGAGGATGGTGGTGGTGATGATGGTGGTATTGGTGATGATGGTGGTATTGGTGAGGATGGTGGTGGTGATGATGGTGGTATTGGTGATGATGGTGGTATTGGTGATGATGGTGGTATTGGTGATGATGGTGGTGGTGATGATGGTGGTATTGGTGATGATGGTGGTATTGGTGATGATGGTGGTATTGGTGATGATGGTGGTATTGGTGAGGATGGTGGTATTGGTGATGATGGTGGTATTGGTGATGATGGTGGTGGTGATGATGGTGGTATTGGTGAGGATGGTGGTATTGGTGAGGATGGTGGTGGTGATGATGGTGGTATTGGTGAGGATGGTGGTATTGGTGATGATGGTGGTGGTGATGATGGTGGTATTGGTGAGGATGGTGGTATTGGTGATGATGGTGGTATTGGTGATGATGGTGGTGGTGATGATGGTGGTATTGGTGATGATGGTGGTGGTGATGATGGTGGTATTGGTGATGATGGTGGTATTGGTGATGATGGTGGTATTGGTGAGGATGGTGGTATTGGTGATGATGGTGGTATTGGTGATGATGGTGGTATTGGTGATGATGGTGGTGGTGATGATGGTGGTATTGGTGAGGATGGTGGTATTGGTGAGGATGGTGGTGGTGATGATGGTGGTATTGGTGAGGATGGTGGTATTGGTGATGATGGTGGTGGTGATGATGGTGGTGGTGATGATGGTATTGGTGAGGATGGTGGTATTGGTGATGATGGTGGTATTGGTGATGATGGTGGTGGTGATGATGGTGGTATTGGTGATGATGGTGGTGGTGATGATGGTGGTATTGGTGATGATGGTGGTGGTGATGATGGTGGTATTGGTGATGATGGTGGTATTGGTGAGGATGGTGGTATTGGTGAGGATGGTGGTATTGGTGATGATGGTGGTGGTGATGATGGTGGTATTGGTGACGATGGTGGTATTGGTGAGGATGGTGGTATTGGTGAGGATGGTGGTATTGGTGAGGATGGTGGTATTGGTGATGATGGTGGTATTGGTGATGATGGTGGTGGTGATGATGGTGGTGGTGATAATGGTGGTGGTGATGATGGTGGTATTGGTGATGATGGTGGTATTGGTGATGATGGTGGTATTGGTGAGGATGGTGGTGGTGATGATGGTGGTATTGGTGAGGATGGTGGTATTGGTGATGATGGTGGTATTGGTGATGATGGTGGTATTGGTGATGATGGTGGTATTGGTGATGATGGTGGTATTGGTGATGATGGTGGTATTGGTGATGATGGTGGTATTGGTGATGATGGTGGTATTGGTGACGATGGTGGTATTGGTGATGATGGTGGTATTGGTGACGATGGTGGTATTGGTGAGGATGGTGGTGGTGAGGATGGTGGTATTGGTGATGATGGTGGTATTGGTGACGATGGTGGTGGTGATGATGGTGGTGGTGATGATGGTGGTATTGGTGACGATGGTGGTGGTGATGATGGTGGTGGTGGTGACGATGGTGGTATTGGTGATGATGGTGGTATTGGTGGTGATGGTGGTATTGGTGACGATGGTGGTATTGGTGATGATGGTGGTATTGGTGACGATGGTGGTGGTGATGATGGTGGTGGTGATGATGGTGGTATTGGTGACGATGGTGGTATTGGTGACGATGGTGGTATTGGTGATGATGGTGGTATTGGTGACGATGGTGGTATTGGTGATGATGGTGGTATTGGTGATGATGGTGGTATTGGTGATGATGGTGGTGGTGATGATGGTGGTGGTGATGATGGTGGTATTGGTGAGGATGGTGGTATTGGTGATGATGGTGGTATTGGTGAGGATGGTGGTATTGGTGACGATGGTGGTATTGGTGGTGATGGTGGTATTGGTGATGATGGTGGTATTGGTGATGATGGTGGTGGTGATGATGGTGGTGGTGATGATGATGGTGGTATTGGTGAGGATGGTGGTGGTGATGATGGTGGTATTGGTGACGATGGTGGTATTGGTGGTGATGGTGGTATTGGTGATGATGGTGGTATTGGTGATGATGGTGGTGGTGATGATGGTGGTGGTGATGATGGTGGTATTGGTGAGGATGGTGGTATTGGTGATGATGGTGGTATTGGTGAGGATGGTGGTATTGGTGACGATGGTGGTATTGGTGGTGATGGTGGTATTGGTGATGATGGTGGTATTGGTGATGATGGTGGTGGTGATGATGGTGGTGGTGATGATGGTGGTATTGGTGAGGATGGTGGTGGTGATGATGGTGGTATTGGTGACGATGGTGGTATTGGTGGTGATGGTGGTATTGGTGATGATGGTGGTATTGGTGATGATGGTGGTGGTGATGATGGTGGTGGTGATGATGGTGGTATTGGTGATGATGGTGGTATTGGTGAGGATGATGGTATTGGTGACGATGGTGGTATTGGTGACGATGGTGGTATTGGTGACGATGGTGGTATTGGTGATGATGGTGGTATTGGTGATGATGATGGTGGTGATGATGATGGTGGTATTGGTGACGATGGTGGTATTGGTGATGATGGTGGTATTGGTGATGATGGTGGTATTGGTGACGATGGTGGTATTGGTGATGATGATGGTGGTGATGATGGTGGTATTGGTGACGATGGTGCTGCAGAGAAGACGAATTTACCCACAGTTGTCAAGTCCTCCCCGCCGACTTTAAATCCGCGGTAAAGAATGAAGTCCGCGTGTTTTCTTGCTCATACCCCTCGCTTACGAAACCTAACAAAAGTTGAATTCTAAAACCACGTGGCTCAGAGACGCGGCGGGGGTGGGGGAACCAGAGAGAAGGGGAGAGGGGGGGTAACACTGGGCGAGTCCAACTCCGTTGTGGTGATCCTCTCTCCACCACCACCACCACCGCCGCCGCCGCCGTCGTCGCGTTTAAAGTTCACTGCGTTAGTCGGCGTTGTGATAGCGGCCTCGCAACGTGGACGGCGTTGAGCTCCCTGCTGCCGTTGGCGAGGTGGAGTTTAAAGGGGGAGGGAGGCTGCGGCAAAGCGATCGCCGATGGAAGCAGTCGGCGGAAATGGGAAATTGGTTCCTTCCACAGGGAGAGGGGGGGGAGAGGGAAAGGGGGGGGATATCCGCGGGCGTTTTGGGAGTTTTCTTCAATTCGTTAAGAGGGGGAGGGGTGGGGGTGCAGAGGGGGAGGGGCTGAGGGCAGCGGGGAGAGCCACGAGGAAGGAGGCCCGGGCCCTGGCTGAGCAGACCGACTACGACGTGCCTCGTATCCTCCTCATCCTACCTCGTGTGATCGTGTCCTCATCCTCCTCCTACCTCGTGTGATCGTGTCCTACCGACGCCGCCGCTGCCGCTGCTGCTGTTCGCCGCCGCGGTGTCCCCGCTCTCCACGCGCTCTCTACGACTGCAGCGATGTCGACAGGTAACGAGCGTGGGGGTGATGGTTGGGCAGGGCATTGTGTGAGAGGGCATTCAGTCCTGTGTGGGCACGCGATGCGAGAGCGTTGGGATTGAAGGGCATTCAGTCCTGTGTGGGCACGTGATGCGAGAGCGTTGGGATTGAAGGGCATTCGATAAGAGCTGGGCATGCGATGCTGGCATTGGATTACGGAATTGACATCGGGCATGCGATGAGGGCAAGTTATGGGATGAGATTCGGGTATGGGATGAAAGCAAGGCGCTGGATGTTGGCATTGCATGGGATTGGGGCATTGCATGAGGGCAGCGTGCCCAGCTCTCGGATGGGGGCCATGTGGGCAGCCTACTTGATGTGCGGGCCATCATAACAGCGATTCGCTGCTCAGGGGAGTGTGGGACAATGGGGCATTTGGTGGTTTTAGGGCCCATGCCAGCCCACGCAGGGCAAGGCTTTTGAATGGTGGGGGCATGGCATGAGATGAGACATGTGGTGAGGATGGAGGAGAGGCCGTGCCCCCCACTGTCTTGTGCTGATGCTGCTTTTGTTGTTGTATGTGAGCATCGTGCTTGAGCAAAGTCGTGAATTCAACTGCAAAGAAAAACTCTGGGCTCGCGTGTGAAGACGTCTCGGCAAGGAATCCGTTGTGGCAGAAAAAGCAGCGCAAAGCGCAGAGTTTGGGATGACGAAATGCGTGCGACGGCTTCATAACAACAACAATAATCTATTTTTTATAAAAGCGCCTTACATATTGAAGTATCTCAAAGCGCAGTACGCAAAAACAAACCTACACTCACTAATATAGATACAAACTAAGCGACACAGTTGATAATAACTACTCCCACAATTCCACTAAAACGATGGACCATGAAAAAAGCGAATCGCAGAGCACTGTAGTCTAATCTCGACGTCAAGATTGTTTTTTTAAATCTTAAGTTACGGGGAAAACCTGTGGAACGAATAGCTGCGTTTTAAGACGTGATTAAAATAGTGGATGTAATTAGCCTCCCTGAATCTCAACGCATTTTCAGGAGCATTTGGGATGTTTGGCCAATACCATGTCTATAATACAAGGGGCGGGGGTGAGATCCCTTATCACAATACAGAGATTTGTGCTTCGCGTGCTCTGCTGCAGGGACAATTCCACAAATTAGGCAGAACATTTTTCTAACTCTGGATCATCAAATGTGTCGACTCGACACATTTGCCAGTAACACTGTGTGGCCTTAAACTAAACATAGTTTGCGACGTTTTGGGCCATGGCCCTTCTTCATTGCGCACAAATAGAGGCCGGCGAGAGTGGATAACAAGAGTTGTGGGAGCCGGAACAGCGAGAGGAAAACAGCCCAACATCTTGAGGAGCGTCGGGGTCCATTCATAATATAACCTGGTCATTCATAATATAACCTGGTCATCTGCAGGGGAGGAGGTTGCACAGCTTATTTCCTCGGAGTAAATAAAACAATAATCTGGTACTTGTGATTCTGCGTCGGTAGTGGTGATGCACAAATAAAAACAACTCAACGCGGTCGGCAATAACACTTTTACATACACGTGGGGGTGTCGTTTTTTTATCTTTGTAAATGTTTTAAGTTGATGGCGGATTTATGGAATAAAGCCAAGAGTTTGGCTCGTACCACGGCCACGGCCATCCCAGCATGGCTGAACACGTCACCTCGCCGCTGTGCGTCCGCCACCGCGCTATTTTACCAGCATTTCTCCCTCATCGAGAAAGGCGGGCACGTTATTTCCAGCAGAAATTACAGCCCTAATTGCTTCACCAACCAGTTGCACTTGATGATGATACTGTAATCGCTCATCACGACCCACATGTTTTGAAGTGTCTGCAATGCAAGTCCGAGGTTGTCAAGCTTGCTCTGGTGTCACATGCGTTGTAAGCTGGAGCACACCCCGGGTAAAACATTCGGAGGTGATATATTGTTTTCCCGCCAATAATTCGGAAATGCTGTGCGGTTTTCTAAATGATCCAGTGTCTATCAGGGCTTGGGCAGGATGCGTCATGGCTTGAAGGGACGATGACGGATGGTCAAGGCTGGAGATGGAGTGGCAGCCCAAGGACTGGAAGGAACACCACCTGTAGGGCATCCAGCGTGGAGATGGAGTGATGGAAACATCTTGCGTGTGGGTGTTCTGATTTTTATTCCATCGCAGGGTCGTTAACGGTGGACAGCGGTGGCTTGGAGGATGCCTTCATCCAGCAGTGGATAAACCATGGCTGATGATCCTGATATGGATGAACATGTTATATAAAATGTGGCAAGAATGATTACTGATTTGCAAGATTACGGGTGCACACACTGTAGTTCTGAACTTTACCGAAAGACCCAAAGAATATAAAAAAGCGTTCGCCTCTGATAGTGCAGTTCTATCATGTGCTTGCATTTGTTTGGGCTCGTTGAGAACAAAGCAAACCGATGCAGGAGACGAACTATTGAACCCAAAGTCTGGATCGTCTCTATCTTCTTCGTCATCAAGGTTTTGTTTATTCTGCGTACGATTGCGCAACGGCGAGCACGTGTTGTGTTCATCAGGAAACCAGCGCCCCCCCCACACCCCCTTTGCACAGACTTGTTTTCACTTTTATATTTGTCCACCATATTACCCACGATTATTTGCAAGGACATGGCGTCACGCTACAAACAATACATTTGGAACTCTCGCACGGAGCAATGCCACCCATTTGTGTTTAGAGAACGGCCCGTGGAAGCGGATATGAAGGAGCTACCTCTGAGGTCCCTTGTCCTTCAAGTGAACTCTGGGCTGCACTTTCCTCCCCGCCACCCTCCTAACAGAGCGCAATGATCGTCGCGTGACAGTGAAACCAAATACTTTTGAACTCTCAAGTGAGTTTTCGTATAACCAAATCAAATGTGGAACCAAATCGAATGTCATGCTCTTTTGTGCTTTCATCAGTGATTGAGCTGTGACCATCGACTTGCAACACTTGAGGGACCCGGTTTAATCGCAGGCAGTGGCTTCCGAGATTTGAATCCTGGATCTCAGCTGGAACCAGCCAGTCTTCTCCCAGACTGGTCGTTATTTTTGACGTCCAAAATCCCGTTCGGCCGTGCGCGACTCTGTCACGGTTCCATAGGCGAGGGGCAAAGTCATCTCCCTGCCGGAACGAGGGTGGGAAGGCACCCATTTCCATTGATGGCCTGAAGCCAGCAGTTGAAATTCCTTATTATATGTGTGGCGGTCCGATATGCGATGTTGTACAGTGATGACCGTTAACCCAGAGGCCGTCGTGTGTATTTATGCTTCATCTCCCCAGGTTGCTTGGCAGCGTCCGCCATCCCTCGTGAAGAGAGAATGCCTTCTCAGTGTTAACGTTTTGTCTCCGAGGGCATTCATTTTTTCACGGTCTAATCACCCTAAATACAGGGTTTCACACGCGCGCTCCTTCTCACACAAGGCTGGCTCTGTCTGGGTTTGCCAGCTCGCAGGAGATGGGAGTGCACAGATCCCAGAATAATTAGTTTCTTTGTTAATTTGCATTCTCATTGATTCCGGGCCATATCGCAGCTCCTTCCGGTGCGGTTGCTTGTACATGCACATGCGCTTGTAAGATTGTGTTATTCACACAGGTGTGTGTGTTTGTGGTTGTCTGCTTCCTCGTTGTGTACCTTGAGAGATGTGGACACATTCCCATCGGTGAGCTCCTCTGGCAATTGAAGCTATGTTGGCAAGATCATGTAGCTCGCATGCCCAGCCACCGCATGCCCAAGCAGCTTCTGTTTGGCCGGATCGAGGGGACTAAAAGTGTCTAGCACGGGTTAAGGAAGAGATGGGGTGCTGTGGTATAGAAGGGTGTGCAGCTGATTTGATTTGTCGATTACTGGTATCTGCGGTGTCAAGATCGGCCTCTATCGAGGAGGCTTGTGAAGGATGCTTTTGCCCTCCAGCAACAACTGAGGGCAGAGAAGCGATGCTGGCAACGAGCAGAGTGCAAGGCGGCTAAAATGTAGCAAGTTGGCACAGTGGGGAGCGGAGTTGGTGCATCTGCCAGTAAGTCAGTCAACCCATGGAACTTGTCAGCGAGCCTTTGACACTTCATGTGGCCACCAAGTACACCTAGCACGGCACGAGCACCGTGGTGATGTCACCGCCACTTCGTGGCGAACGGCGGTTGTTGTTGCGGGTGATGGAGCTTGTGGAGGAGGTCATGTGACCGGCGGACCAGTTGGGGCAAGGGCTGCGGGCACGCCGCCAGCGTCGTGCTGTTCCCGGGGCTGTCCCGTCGCGAGTGTTGGTGGAGGCCACTGCACGCACTCTCCTCGCTCCTCCGCAGGCGAGAAGCTGGCCGAGGGGAAGACGAAGGCCGTGTTCGCTGTGGACGGGCAGCCCGGCAGGGTGCTCGTGCAGTCGCGCGACAGCATCACGGCGGGCAACGCGGCGCGGCGTGACCACCTCGAGGGGAAGGCGGCGCTGTCCAACCGCACCACGTCTGCCGTTTTCGCCCTGCTGAACGCCGTTGGTACGGCCTCAGCCGATTTCGCTGCTCCATCTCCGCGGCGGACGATCTATCTCGTGGGCGTGTTAACTTCCGTTGGTTGCCACTCCATTGTGTTAGTCTCGATCGCCGGCTGCCATCGCATCTCATGATGGCTTGAATGACATTTCATTAAACATTTTTTTACTTTTAATGTGATTTCTATAACTTGCAAAACATTCTCCTCTAAGCCATTTGTTCAACTTCGTCATGCAACTTCCGTCATGCACACCCGGCCCCCTGTCTCCCCAGTGGTGATGTTTGCGCACTGCATAGGATACTCATTTAAGGCCGAGTCTACCTAGGGGCAGGGCCCAGGACAGGTTCAGACGGTCGTCGCCGATCGTTGACCGCGAGCGGGAATCAAACTTGATGGCACGGCGAGCTAACCCCACCGCGCGTGTCTGCCGCGGCGCCCGCGGCGCAGGGATCCGCACGGCGTTCGTGGAGGCGCAGGGCAAGACGGCGTTCTTGGCCGAGCGCTGCGACATGGTGCCCATCGAGTGGGTGTGCCGGCGCGTGGCCACGGGCTCCTTCCTCAAGCGCAACCCGGGGGTCGCCGAGGGGCTCCGCTTCTCCTCCCCAAAGCTGGAGATCTTCTTCAAGGTGACGCTCGCCGACTTTCTTCGCCGCCGCCTGCAACGTTAACCGACTCGATTGCTCACTCGCTCGCGAGCCTGAACGACTGTTCAATTCAAACCCCTCTTCCCCTGCTTGCTCTCTCTCTCTCTCCCCCCCTCTCATCTCCCCTCTCCCGTGGAAACCCGCCAGGACGACGCCAACAACGACCCGCAGTGGTCGGAGGAGCAGCTCGTGGCGGCGAAGCTTTCCCCGGCCGGCCGCCTCATCGGGCCGCACGAGGTGGCCGTGATGGCGCGCACCACGCAGGCCGTCTTCGAGATCCTCGAGCGGGCGTGGGCCACGCAGGTGTGCACGCTCGTCGACATGAAGGTGAGTGCGCTCCGCTCGTCGATCGGTGCACCTAGCATGGCTCGAGCACCGTGGTGACGTCGCTGCCACTTCGTGGCAAGCGGCGGTTGTGTGCGGGCGCGATCGTGGGGTCTGCGTGCGTGGTGCTCGTAGAGTTTCCGTGTGAGAATCGCCAAGAATCCGACATTGATTGAGATGAATGGGGGTTTATTGAAGATGGTGCCATCCAAGGCATGCTGGAGCTTCCTGTTTGTTTGCGGTCTGTAAAACACCTTTTCCCTGATAATATTGTTGCAATGAGTGGTCGCCGGTTTTATTCCGTCTCCTGGTACGGAAGTTTAAACAATGGGGGGGCACGAGTGGAGGTGCGGGGGTGACTCGCGGTTGCCCGCAGGTGGAGTTCGGGGTGAGCGTGACGACGAAGGAGATCCTGCTCGCCGACGTCATCGACAACGACTCGTGGAGGCTGTGGCCGGCGGGCGACCGCGCGCAGCAGAAGGACAAGCAGGTGCCGCCCCGCATAGACGACAGTCGCCTCTTCTGTGGTTATTTCGGTCAAGTCGTGTAGATAGAAAGAACAAATATCATGACGTTTCGATCGCAACACAAGCGGTCGTCGTCGGGCAAAGGAGTCGGCCTCTAAAGGCAAACTGTTTCTAAAAGTTTGGGGATCATCAGCACCAGGAGCATAGAATATGAATTGCTGCAGTCACGAAAGTTTGAAGTCAAGACGGTAACCTACTTGCTGTACCTACCGCCTCTGTGGGATCTCTTTCTGAGCCGCTGATCTTGCCGGTAGGGTGTGTGCGTGCATTCGTGCGCGTGATTGGGTGATTGGGGAGGAGCGGTGACGCAGTGGGTAGCACACTGTGCTACGGGCTCTGTGTCCCGAGTCGGAGCCCCGCTCTCAGCTTGCAAACAGAGACGATTTTCTGAACCAGTCTTAGGCCCCTCCCCTAGGTCGACTCAGCCTTAAAATGAGTAGCTGGGGTGGTATGTAAATATTTTGACTGGGGTGACCAGGCGACCGGGCGTAGTACTGGCCACACCCCCCCCCCCCCCCCGTCCATGTGCTGAGTCGGCCTTCATCGCAGGTGCTAATAGAACTTGCTCCAACAGTCTGTATGGTTTCCGAGAGGATCTTTGTCTATTTACGTGTGCATGTGTGCATTCCGCAGACGTACCGAGACCTGTCTGTGGTGACCCCGGATGCCCTGCAGGTCGTCAAGAAGAACTTTGAGTGGGTGGCCGAGCGCGTGGAGGTACGCGCGTGTGTGTGTGTACACACACACACACACGCACGTGGAGCGCTACGAGCTTGGGGAAGCTGGTGCTGGCTGGCCTTGGTGAATCTTCTTGTAACCTACTCCTCCGCTCTCTTCTCGGCCCCCTGCCCCTGCTCCCACCCGTCGTCTCGCTGCCGCCTGCGCCACCAGCTGCTGCACACGCCGGCCGGTGGGAGCGGTGAGGGCCGTGTGGTGGTCATCATGGGCTCGGCGTCGGACAAGCCGCACGGTGACAAGATCCTCGCCGCGTGCCAGGGCCACGGCGTGCCGTGCACCCTGCGCATCTCCTCCGCCCACAAGGGCCCTGACCAGACCCTGGACATCAAATCGTCTTATGAAGGTGACCCCCCACTCGTCCCTCCTATCTCGGTTCCATCCTGAATACGCTCGGCGTAGTTTCGAGCGACACCCCCCTCCTGCATTGAGCCGATTCTGGTTTTTGAGAGTTTCTAGTCGATATACCTGCGAGCCGTAACAAGCAATAATAATCAGCCCGTCGTTAAACCGCTTGAACACGCGACGATCTCGTTTGGTGTGCTGCGTCCCGTGGATGGAAGGAGACTCATCACGACATTAATTTAGCCAGAACATTTTGTGGCCAAACCCGAAAAATCTAGTATGAATCGGTCAGAGAGGTGGCAATGTGCGTGTATTTATTTGTCCGTATGTTCTGACCGAGCGTGGGGTGGGGGGCGATGTCGCTTGCAGCGGACGGCGTCCCCACGGTGTTTGTGGCGGTGGCCGGGCGGAGCAACGGGCTGGGCCCCGTGCTCTCGGGCAACACGGTGTGCCCCGTCATCAACTGCCCCCCACTGTCTGCCGACTGGGGGGCCCAGGATGTGTGGTCCTCGCTCCGTCTCCCTGGAGGTACGCTGCCCCCCCCCCACCCAGCCACCCCCCCAGAAAAGTCGCTGTTATCCTTGGCCGGCGCCTGTTCGCTGCCGTGCGCCGCACTGGCGTTATTGGACGTGTTGGGTGTTGTTATAGCCAGTGCTGTGTGGTTGGTGATGTTGGTGATGGTGATACCAGCGCTGCATGGTCGTTGCTTGGGCGAGATATGACACCACTCGTCGTGCTGTGTTTGTGAACCCCAATGATAATTATGGAAATTACATCGTTTTACCCTAGGCAGCCTTCTTGAATCAAAAGCGACCTTTTCTTAAATATCCAAAAAGGGTTTGGATATTTAAGAAATATCCAAAAGGGTTTTGAATTAAAACCGGTTTATATCGATTTTCACAAATGTAAAATATGTGAACATCCTAAGGGGGTTCACAAACTTTTTCTTCGCACTGTTAGTGCTGCTGGTGTTGTGCGATCGTCCTTCTCGGGTTATACATTGGGACTGCTAGCGCTCTACGACGGTGCTGCTGGCACGGTACGACTGGCGACGTTATGATAAATACATCGACGGCACGACAATAATCGCGCCGGTCACTCGCGAGTTCTGAGCTGCTGCCGTCGTAGCGCTAATGCCCCCGGCTCCGTGCGCCGCTACGACTGCTGCTGCATCTCTACCTCCCCCACCACCCCCCGCCCCTCCTCCTGCAGGTCTCGGGTGCAGCACCGTCTTGTCCCCGGAGGCGGCCGCCCTGTGCGCCGCTCAGATGCTGGCGCTGAGTAACCACCTCGTGTGGTGCCGCTTGCGCGCTCAGCAACTCGGCACCTGGATCGGGCTCCTCGACTCGGACCGCAAGGTGCAGGACAAGGGCTCCAGGGAAGTGTAGGTGCCTGGTGAAGTGTGGGCGCTGGCTCGGCACGCGATTGGTCTCCCCTGTTGCTCCCCGGAGCACGCGGCTCGACCTTCGGTTGCTTCCCCCCCCCCGGCGGTTTTCTACGAACGATGAGCCGATTCCTCGCGCTCACGGTGCAGACGCGTCGGGTCGTGTGCGTGCGCGCGGATCGATTTCGTTTTCCGGTTGGTTCACACGTGACCACTTGCACCGACTAGAGGCGCTACATTCACAAGTGTTCAAGAATCGGTCTGTTAATTGAACCGATTTGCCACCCCTCCCCCCCCGAATCGCGAATCATGACAGTTCATTGATTCGGTGGGGGGCAGCGATGACTGATTGCAGACTGAGCGTCGAGTGCTCGATTCTCATGCACAATAAAATTTGGAAATAAGCACGTCCCTGCCATTCCAAAAAAGGCCAGCTGTACTTGCATCCAAAGTCATGTGCTTGTCGAAGAAGTTGTCCATAACCTTCCCCCACCAGTGAAAGTCAGCACGCGTTGCTTATGCAATAACCAGCACTGTGCTTATATAAGGTGTGCTATATTTCAACTTCTACTGTACGCGGTCGCTATAGCGTTTATGCTCGCAGTAAACGCAAAAAAACTGTATTGTATAACATTTGATTGACGATTCGAATCGCGATGGGGTGGAATCACTTTACAACAGGCCGAGAGGGTTTAATGCGGCGGCGGTGTTTGTTGTTCTTTGTTACGGTTTGTTAGCGTTATCTCGTCGGGCTCGTTTGGACACTGCCATTTCGATCGACGCCGGGCGTTTCTCCGCTCAAGTCTGTGCGCGAATCCGGCACAGACAACGCGACGAATCGATGTTGCGCGCAATTTGCTTTTTTGGCCACTGCCACTGCCAGCGCCGAGCACGATCATTAAACGCAGCTAAAAAAAAAAACGCCCATCTCGTCCCCTTTTTTTTTTTTGAGTCCCGGCATCCTGCAGCTGCCGCCGCCGCCACCGCTGATGGGGCCCCGGTGGTGGCGGGGCACATGGGTGGTGGGTGTGGCCAGGGGAAGGTGGGAAAAGGGGCAGTGGCCTACAACACTTCCAGAAATGTAAGGACGGACGTTGAATCAAGGCACTGCTGACCACTTGTGATTTTTGTTAATGTGACATTGTACAGCTGTGTGTGTGTGGTTTTGTTTGCGTGCTCTGAAGAAGGGCCCACTGCCCGTTTTTGAAGGCCGTGCAACGTTGTTGATGAACGCGTCGAGGGTTTTTGTTCGTTCCTGCGGAGCACAATCCCCGCTACGCAGGGTGGAACGGAGCACGCGGACAAGCGACGCGGTTCGAGTGTTTGCTTTATTTTAAATTAACAAAGTTCACAATACAAAAAGCCAGAGAAACAAACAGGACGGACTGGAATCTGCACTCGGGCGCCATGCGAGTGTTAGCGGCGCCGGCCTGCACTGGCCGTCGGCGCCGGCGTGCCGAGGGTTCAGTTCGCGGGGGGCTGCCTGGGACCTCCTGCCCATTCCCTTGACCCCTCCTCCGGTGGCCCTATCCCCTTACCCGGTCCTACCCCCCCCCCCTCATCCCTCCCCCCCCCCTCCTCATCCCTCCCCCACCCGGTGTGGTATTCGTGACACTGCCGGTCGAACCCTCGTGGCAAAACCGGCATTGACAAACCGCCAGGATATGAAAACATCGCACGTAAACGGCCACGGCACACCTCCGCAAATTTTTTTTTTTTACATCAAACCAGAAATATCAATGTACGCAGCATAACGTATTCTCTTTTGAGTGCGGTATATAAATAGATTGCAACCTTTACAGGAAGCACGGAGAAGCAGCAGCGGCGGCACCATAGGGCGCAGCGCCGATTGCAGCCGCGAGCCGGGCCGCGCCGGTCGCGCGCGTGAGCGCAGCTGTGCCAGGCCACGCCGGGCCAGGCCACCGCACGCCATCAGGGGGAAACAAGACGCGAAAAACAGCTCTGGTCATATTTACAGCGCGTAAAAGCTCTCGCTTAATTTATTCGCTCACTCGATAAACTCGCAGTTTGGTCGACAAAGTGCAGGTCACGCGACAGGTCGCGGGTTTCAACCACTCCGAAGTGGGTCGCTCGCTCGCTCGTCGGCTGGAGATGCCAGCGGCCACCGCGCGTTCCGGCGAATGCGCCGTGGAGGTTTGGCGCTCGACGTGTCCCACACTCCCTGCTGTGTTTGAGCTCCCAGTGGTCGACCGCTCACCTCTGCCGGAACCTTCGCAGGTTCTGTTTTTGTATAATGCCCTTTGATCGGCAGGGTGAGGGTCCCCCCACATTGAGAAACCTCATTCTTATTTTTAAGTGGGCCACGTAGGCCATAATCTCATGCTCCCTCCTCTCCCATCTTCACCCTCCTGTGTCTGAGAGAAGTTTTTTCTCTGCAGCCGTTGGTCGGGGCCAAGCATCGTCTGGGTAAAGTTGCACACGGTTTTGACCCTTGAACTCAAAAGCAAACAATCTCAGCGGCCAGCGCAGAGCCCCGAGGCTGCGTGAGGACCGGAGGCTTGACGCGGGAGCTTTGGTTTCGTATGCTCACCTCATCACGAGGTCTTACATCATATTCATCATTAACATGCTCGCCTCATCACGAGGTCTTACATCATATTCATCATCATCAACAACTTTATATTCTTTGGGTCTTTCGGTAAAGTCACGTAACCTATCTACGTGACTTTACCGAAAGACGCAAAGAATATGAATTCCTGCAGTCACGAAAGCTTTAAGTCAACAACATCTTTGTCATCGTCAGGAGTTGCACATATAGAAGTAGTTGATTTTTTTTAATGCCCAGTTGCGTTTGTGTCCTGCTGCGATCGCGTGGAACAAGACGTTTGGAACTCTCAGCGAAGCAGTGCACCACTTTGTGTTAATGGCCTTGGAATTTAGTGGTACGGAACTACCGAAGGAGACCTTTATTTTACAGACATTCTTCATCCACACGAGGCCACGCTCTTTGTATATACATATACCCTGAAAACAAGTGTTATACGGGAAGTCAATCCAACAGATATATATATTTTTAATTCCGAGCTGATGTTTTTGTTTGTGCGTTGCTCATCGGGGCCTGCTAAGACTCAAGGACCCGGTCTGAAGACTGACGAGGCGATCCACCCTATCCCTGCGATGGATGCATGCAACAGGGTCTGTAATGGCTTCCATTTGGCGTTTAGCAACGCGTGGATTACACTTGATTTAAAATCGATTGCTCTGCTTCCCCACAAAACACCGTAAAATCACGTGCTCGAGGGTCCCTTGCATTTCCACGCACACGCCGATTATCATTCTCGTATGCAGCTCTTCCGGCCACAAGATGCGCTCCCATCCAACTTATTGAATCGCGGGGGGTGAAGTCGTTTCCGCGTGTTTGTAAGGATTGATAACGACCACCCGAATCGATTCTCGCAGGCACCTCACACGCAAAAAACCATCTGAATCGATGGAGCGCTAAATCGCTGCTGCCGGGGGCACCTATTGGCCGACTCGCCTGCTAGGTCCAAAAATTGTGGGGGGCACATGCCCCCCAAACCCCAGCTATCTGCGTTCCCATGCCACCTGCTGCCCGCACAATGCAGCCTGTGCTCCCTTTCATTGTTGCGTTCTCACCGTTGTGCTTGTGTGTCAAGCGTGACGGAGATTGGTTGTGGCTTATGAATGGGCCTGGTGGAGGGAAAATTTGCAGACAGGGGGGGGGGCTCGGGGGGGGGGGGGGGGCTCGGGCTTGGTGGTTGCGGGGCCATCGAGACGGGTCAGCGGGAGCGGCCGGACACGTACGCGAGCACCCGGCTGAGCGCGCGCAGGCGGTCGTGCAGCGACGTCATGGCGAGCACCTTGAGCTGCGCCTGCCCGTCCAGCGGCAGCACGGCGAGGAGCCACCAGCACCAGGCGGGGCCGTCGACGCTCGCCTGTGGCGCGGAGGGAGTGAGCGGACGCGGACGTTAGTTCGGTGACCGGCGTGGTGTGGGGAGAAACCGCCCCAAACCCCACTCCCGCCTTACTTGATCCCCCGCGGTGACGCCCCAGAAAAAAATATAAAAAGTCGACAGCTGGCGACGCCCCCCCCACGCAGTCGAATTGATGTATGGCAGGAAGCGCTCGTAACATTACATAACGGGCAAACTTTATAATTCGTAAAGTTTATGGAGGTGTGAGTCGCCAGATTTGGCAGGCGCCAGTTTTTTGTTGTTGCACACTCTTGGCTCGCTGCTGCGTACGCTCGGTAAGGAGAGAGATCACAGCCCCTTTGTCAACTCCGCTGCTGGATGGAGGCCCACCCACTCAGTCACGCGGCTTGTTTGGCCGTACTTGAATCACGCCGGTCGGTGCCGGTTGGTGAGGGGCCAGCAACACGGAGGGGGAGCAGGAGCCAGGATATCACAAATTACTTTGATGTTGGCCATAGCCGGGAATCAAACTCGGGTTGCCTGACGGATTCAGAGCGCATTGCGCTAACCCCTCGCCGCATACACTTTGGTACTGTCTTTCTAATTTGTTACGCATATGTATTTTATTCGTTGAATGTTGCTTATCTTGCCCGGGTGGTTCAGTGGTTAGCGCGCTTGGCTCGCAATGTGACGTTTTGGAAGTTCAAATCCCGGTCAAGGCACCGGGCAAATCGCCGGCAAAGATAAAACGAGAAACATTTTGTGAGAAGGCAACGGTCGGCTACTTTATGGACTGTGGATGGATTTCCACTGCCATGGGAATGTGGAATGTGCACCACTGACTCGGACTTTAAACACGGCCTTCGCCCTTTCTTTCCCAAACACGAGACCGCTTTGGGTTGCTTTCTTATTTAACGCTCGCGCACGCACATTCACGTGCGTGTGTGTGTGTGCACACACACACACACGCACGTGTGTGGAGCGGTGGTGCAGCGGTTAGCGCACAGTGCCATGAACCTCGTGATCAGGGTTCGATTTCGGCTCGCAGTGGCGAATAGGCCGGTAACTGGTGCGGGTGTGTAAACATCAGCGGTCATCGTTCAAGGGAGACAAAGGCATCTGGGCGTGGCACTTGTTACCCACCCGGCTCTTATGCATGTGTGTTGAACTTCTTTCGCGCCGTACGTAGCCAACCGTGCCTTATCGGAGGAGCGAATAATAGGTGCTCGCTAACAGCATCTGTCCCAAGAGCCTGTTAATGCTCTAGGAGGTGGGGGATCTCGTGCGCACGTGGGAAATCTCCACTGGCCAAGCGGACCGAGCGACGCTCCTGTCCCGAGCGGACGGCGGAGGAGTGCCGTGGCTGAGCGCCGGCCGCCGGGACGCCGTTGGCTCTTGGCCGCACGGAACGATCTTTCGGGGTGATTCATTGAAACCGCACGATGATGTAACGTGTTCCCAGTTGGCATCGAGATAACGTGTTTATCAGTGCCAGCAAACGTGCTGAGTGGCGGGCTGAGTAGTGGGGCGGAGGTGGTGTGAGCGGTGAGACATGGCTAGAGGGGGATGAGCGGTGGCGCGAGTGGTGGGGCGAGTGGTGGAACACGTCGCCGGGTGAGCGTATGGACGAGCGGTGAGGCGAGTGGCACGGCGGGCCTCCGCTCGGCCCTCACCTGCAGGTCGGCCTCCTTGGTGGGCAGCGTGCCGAAGTGCAGCAGCACTTGGCTGCGTAGGCGGCTGCGCAGGGAGCCGAACCATGCGGCCGCCTGCACGTACACCTCCTCGTGCAGCGCCTGCAGCTCCGCGTACGCTTCCTCCTCCTCCACCTGCGCCCGAGACATGGGTCGGCCGTTAGCCGCGCCGGCCACGAGCTCCCCCACCGCGTAGCGCCGGCTGGCGTTGCCCCACGGCGATGAGCGGCGTCAACGCGACCGCCATTGCTGCCGCTTCGCCCCGTGGCGGCGATTAATTCACCTCTGGTTTGACGGTGAAAAATGGACGGTCACGCCCAGGGCTTAATATGTCGACTAAAAATATTCTCGCGGGTCGCTGACAAACTGGGGTAAGCGGCGCGCGCGCGCGAAGAGGAAGGCGCGTCCATAGAGCGATAGGAACGCTGGGTGCTGTGAGCCGGGTGCGGCGGCATGCGGCGGCGTTGCCAGCTCCTTCAAGCAGAAAGTATCCTGTGGGGGCGTCAAGGAGGATTCACCAACCCTCGCTGGACTACGCTGCCCGGCACGCGCCGCCACGGCGTAGGTGGCCGGTGGACTAAGCGGCCGCAGCCATCGCGAGGGCTATGCTTCGGCGTGATGATGTCGGGCGTGGAAAGATTTCTCTGTCCGCGACACGAAGGGACCCGGCGGGAGTTAAACTCCCGCTTTGGAGCGTCGGCAGCGCAAGCTTCTTTGATCGATGTCACCCATCGTAGAGGCCGCGTCATCACTCAGAGTCGCCGCCGCCGCCGCCAAACAAAGAAGATGGGATTCGTTTATGCGTAGCAAAGGCGTGCGTTTGGTTCTGTTTGTAACTTCGTAATCTGCGTTAATTATGTAATTTCATCTCGGGATTAGTTTTCTCGTCTGACCATGTGTGTGGTGAAGGGGCAGGGGGGGGGGGTGCAGACCAGCCTAGAGCCAAGACTTCTTACTCTCTCCTCCCATGACAGCCCCCACCGCCCCAAACCCATGAACCCACCTCTCTCACCTCCCTCTTATCCCCCCACCCTCTCGAGCCATCGTTGACAGTCGTGGCATGGCCCTAGCATCTCCATAGCCCCCCCCCACACCCGGCAGGCGCAGGTGCAGTTGTGATTCACAGCCTCACAGAGCTTTGCAATTAGTGGGCTGCAGCCACTCGTGAAATCCATGAAAAGCACAAAACAATAGCAACTACATCTGCGTCTGATGGTGCCCCCCCCCCCCCCCCACTAACCACCTGCTGCCAGTTCATGGCGACGGTTTTAGGGCCCGGCGGTGGTTTATGGGTAGGCGACGTTTTAAAAGCAGCCGGAAGGGCTCAATGCGGGAGGGTTTTTTAAAATGTGGATTTGAGCTCGAATGGGCTCAGAAGCCATCATCTGTTTACGGTCCCAAGACAGCGGTGGAGTATGTAACCATGGGACAACCCTCTGCTGATGTCCCGCAAAGTGGCGCTAAATGTTATCGACCGCAGAGGGATGCAGTCCGGTGGCGACGTCACGTGACATGCAAGGAACGCTGGGAGGAACCGATCCTTTGCTCACGATCGCACCATTTGCTGCCTGTGAACCACCTGTTGCCTGCGTGCATCGCTGCTATTATCATTGCTGTTGTTACAACTCTGAATCGAGCCCACACGCACTTGCGTGCCCGATGTTGCATTTCTCCGTCCGGGTCTCCCGGCGCTCACCTTGACGTCCTCCAGGTACTCGATGTTGGCCGTGTTGTAGCCGTCGCGATGGCTTCGCTGCACGACGCGGAACCGCCGCTCGCCCACCGTGTACACCACCGAGCGCCCGTCCGGCATGAGCTGCGCGCTCTGGACGCCCAGCATGCAGCCAAACTCGGCGAAGCTGCAACCGCAATGCGGGATACAGAGAACCGGGGATCAGGGGGACACGGGGAGGCGAGACACCCGATCTCTGCGCAAAGCTTACTTTTGGAAAATAATAACACTCATGAATTATGAACGTGATGGCAACGATGTGATTAGCACGGTTGGCTACGCGCGTCACGAAGTTCGACACGCGCACATTTAGGTGACGACAACAACGGCGATGACGACTATAGCAATGGCTATGATGACAGAGACGGTGGCAACAATTTGTCGACGACGTTGCCGGCGACCCAGCACCGGTGACGGCCGCGCCTCAGCCGCCAACGCGCAACTCACCCGCTGGCGTTGCCCAGGCACATGCCGAATCGCCGCGTGCCGGTCTCGAGGCAGCGCCGCACCATGAGGCGGTAGCGCGGCTCGAAGACGTGCAGCGGACAGGGCAGCGACGGGAACGCCACGGTGCACACGAACACCGGCACATCCTGCGTGAGGCTGCGTCACCGCACCACACCACCCGGTTAGTATCGGACGAGGTCGCGGTGCAGCCCTGCGCTGTTTGCTGGTGCGTGTCTCCGTGCTGGCGGAAAAGGGCCTTCACCAGAGGGAGCTCTGGAGGGTGTTTTTGGGTCTACTCTTCCACGCCGAACGGACGTTGTCGTCTTGGAAAGAGGTGGGAGTTGCCACGTTTTACCCCACCGCAGGCAAACTGGCCTCAACGGAGACCAACTGTGGTGTTGCTCATTTATGCGGCCGGGTGGACGGAGGCACCAAAGGCGAATTAAAAAATCTCGGAGGCAGCGTTTCGGCTGCCGCGCCGGGAGGTGGCGTCGGACCGGGTTAGTCTGCATAAAGCGGAAATAATCGATTGCTCGTGCGCAGGGTTCTACGCATGTGGATCACGCACCAGACGATCGATTCTCATCGTGTTGTTACGCGCACGAGGAAGCACAATGGAATATTTAACGTCTCGTACAGACTCCTACGTAGAGAGGTGCCCAAGTCGTGAATCGAACCTTTTTTTCCGCCACTACGCTCCTGCCACCCGTCCATCCAATCTCATCGTAAGCTCAAGATAACAAAGACAAAGATCCCCTGTATAGCTTTCAACAGACCGTCGGATCAAAGGCTGTTAGCGAGCACCTATGAAGGCCGGCACGGCACACGAGGATGTGGGTGGCCAGCACCACACCCGGTATAACACATCAACAACAACCGCCATTCGCCACTAAGTGGCAGTGACGCCACACTTGTGCCAGGCTATGTACACGTTGAGGCCACGTGAAATGTCGACCGCCCACTGGCAGGAGGTCACGGGGCAGACCCAGGTGCCAAGGGTCGACTGACTGAGATGACCGAGATGACTGGCTGATGCACCACCTGTGCCCCCAACTGTGCCAACTGGCTGCACTTTAGCCACCCGGCGCTCCGCTCGTTGTTGTGAGCTTCGCTCCTCCCCCCTCCGTTGTTGTTGGAAGGTGACCGCCTCCAACTGCCCAGTAGCGTCCTTCACGAGCCTCCTCCACAGAGGCCGTTCTTGACACCACTGGTACCAGTCATTGGCAAGTCCACTCAGCTCCACATCCTGCTGTACCACATCACTCCATCTCTTCTCTAGCCCGTGCCGTGCCCGTTTAGCCCCCTCGATCCGGCTGAACAAAAGCTGTTAAGGCATACGGTGGCTGGGCATGCAGGCTACATGACCCAGCCAACGCAGCTTTGCCTGCCGGAGGACCTCATCGATGGGATTTTTTCCAGATCTTTCAAGAATATGTAACTCCTCACACAATCCAGCCTGGTTAAACCCAAGATAGATTGTAGGCAGGCCAGCCTAAATGTTTCTAACCGGCAAATATGTTCCATAAGGGGGGTCCACGTTTCGCAAGCGTAGAGAAGGGAGGGAATGACTGTGGCCGAGAAGACCTGAAGCTTCATGCAGGGCAACAGACCAGGTAGCTTTTCTCGTTTGCAACTTTCATCAACTAGCTGAGACCATGCCACTGGGTTTGAATGGGGTCCTGGGTGTACACCGACCACCGGAGTGGAAGAATGGCAGGCGCATTTTACAGATGACAAGTCGATGGTCAGTGGGCAGATCAGCTCCACGGTAGGTCCTGGTGTCAAGGACATGGGCCTGCATCCGCTGTTCTGCACTATGTAGTCCAGCAGATGTTATTGCTTGGACCCGGCATGCATCCATGATGTTGTGTGGATACGCCGATGCCGTGTGGGTAATTACAAGCCCATGGGCTGCACAAAAATTTTGCAGCCTCCTGCTGTAGTTATTGAGCTGATCTGGCCCATGCTTTCCAATCACTCCAGACCAGGTGCCAGTATCATGACCAACTCGGGCATTGAAGTCACCCAACAGGATGACTCTATCCCGAGGAGCCACTTTAGCTAGCACCTGTGACACGAGGTCATAGAAGGCCTCGGACTCATTGGCCTTGCCTGCATCCCTCCACGGATGTTCATCTTCGGTGGGGGCATAAGTAACCACGACCACCACTCCTCGCCTATGGTTGATGGGAAGGCGAGCTCAAAGTAGCCTGGGGCTTCCAGCTTCCCACACCTCACTGCCACGCTTCCATGCCCCCTTCATTCTTATGTTCAAAAGAAGAGCCACTCCCTGTTGTTTGGCAGTTTCCGACCCCGAGTAGAGGACTGTCTTTCCCTCATGGTGGCAAGAGCTAGAGCTGGTCCACCAGACCTCCTGAATACCACAGAGATCCAGGCGGTACCGATCCAGCTCCTGACAGAGGAGTGGCAGCCTCTCCTCCGCAGTGAGCGTTCGAACATTCCACGTGGCCATCCGAAGTGGCTTTTTGTTGTTTCTGGAGGAGCCCCGAGGGTAAGGATTCAGTCTCCTGGCTCCGCCAAATGGGGCTTGGCCAGGAGACGTCATAGACGCCTGTCCCCCAGAGGCCTCCGGCACAAGCTTAATACGTTTATTGCATCGTAGTTTAGTGGTAGTTTATTGAAGGTGGAGGAGTTACCAGCCCCTCGCATCCGTCCAGAGCCCCCATTTGGCTGTTGTGGTGGTTACAAACGCCATGAAGGGAAAAGCCAATCTAAATTGGCCCTCCCCCCACGGCACTGCCCACCACAGCGTTGCCGTGCGGCACACACACACACATCACTTTACATAATGGCTGGCAAGTTAGTTATATAACTATCTGGCAAAAATTGTTACGAGGTCTCATTTGCGCGTTGCAAAACCCCAATGTGACGAATGATTCTGTGATGAGAGCTGTTACGCCGAGGGTGATGGCACAAGCTTTCATAAGGGGGTGTTATACAATGTGTCACAAGGGCAGGTTTTCATAACAGTGACATAATACACACAGCAATGGCAGCCACCCAGAGTGGTTGTTAACGGTGGTGGGGAGCGATAGCGTGGCCTCACAACGAGCAACGCAAAGAGCAACGCAGTGCTCTTGCCTGGGGCGAGTAAGGAATGATTGTTACGTGGCTGAGACAAACACGGACTTACAAAGAGACCCATAGTCCTGCATTGAGACCCATAGACCTGCAAAGAGTCCCACGGACTTACATAGAGACCTTATAAAGATTATGATGACGAACATGGAGAGTGCCAGGGTGGAGCCTTCGAGGTGGTTCGAAGTGGTGAGCCTGGATGTGAAGGAAATGTGGAGTGGACGTGCGGATGATGGCCACTGGGCAGGAACGAACAGAGAAAAGCCGAGTGGGGAGGCGGATGCCACACGAGGGACGACGGTCACGCCTGGAGGAGGAGGAGGAGCGGGAGGTGCGTGGAGGTCGTGACCTCACCTGGACATCTCGGCGATCTCGTCGAGGTGGGCGCTGCGTCGCTCGGCGAGCGCCTCGGCCATGTAGCGAGCGGCGAGCTCCTCGAGCAGGTGGGAAGCGCTGTAGCGCTGCAGCGCCAGGTACTGTGCACACACAGACACACACACAGACACGCGCGCGTGAGCGTCACGTACACCAACCTGCGAGTCACAAACCAGGATCGCAAGTGCAGTGAGATGACGCTCCTCAGCCCGGTTACCGATTACTGCAGTAAAAAAGTTCCAACCATTTTTAATCCACCAGCGGATCGAAGGCCTCCCAACACGAATCCACGGCCAGCGGATGTAGGGCGGCGACACAGAGGGACGAGGGGGACGAGGTAGGCAGGGCATGACGTCACGCGGGGTGGGGGCGGTGCACACCTGTGCGAGCGTCTCCTTGCAGAGCGGGCAGCGTGGGTTGTGGTCGAGGCAGCGCTCCAGGCAGCGCAGGCAGAACGAGTGGCCGCACGGGGTCGTCACCGGCTCGTACAGCAGCCTGCGGCGCGACGAGCGGGACGGGGGGCCGGGCAAGAAAGGTCGGGGGTTAATAGATGTAGCGGTCGGCGACACGTCGCGTCGATACACCCCAGCGCCGCCAACGGTTGTCGCGGCCGATAGAACAGTTGATGCGATAGCCGTCACCACGACCGGTCAAGAGAACAGTTGGTACAGCAGCAGCCACCGCGGCGGCCGACGTAACAGCTGCCGAAATGGCCGCATACGGCCACAGCCACCGCGACGGTCGGTACAGCAGCCATGGCGCCCGCTGTCGCAACGTGCCGTGGCAACAGGCGTCACGACAGCGTCCAGGGCATACGCGCCACGGCATATGGGTACGCGTATCCGCGCCGCAACGCAGCTTGCGTCGCCGCGTGCGCCTGTGCGGTCAACTAATTACTCAACGGGCATCGTCCAAAGCGATCATCGCCCACACCCCCTGAATCCGAAAACCTGGCAGGACCCTCCTGCTAACGATGTGGACCATTTACGAGTTCCCCCTCTGCGTCCGTCCCATTTACAGTCCTGGTTTACGCGGTGATGGTTAGGCGGCGGTCGTGGTTACGCACCTCATGCACAGCGAGCACTCCATGTCCGTGGGGTCGATGAGAGCCGGGGGGACTGCGCTGAGCGCCGGCGACGTTCCCCACTCGCTCGCCGAGTCTGCCGGGAACAAGAGCGAACGCGTCAAAGGTCGCCCGTGTGCCGCCGCAAGCGGTCGTGGCGCAGGGCGCCAACCACCGCGCCGTCGCAGCCCACCAGCACGCGGCACGCGTGTACCCGGTGCCGACATGACGCCGACCCTCCCCCGCTACACGCCTTCCCTCCAGTTAAAGTCGCACGGCAGCCCAGCACCCACCCACGGCCACCGGGGGGGGGGGGGGGGGGGGGGCTAAGCGGCTTGAACCGCAGCGGCGGTCGGCATGTTGCCGATTTTCCAGCGTCCCTCTCGCTCCCAATTAAATTGTAGGGCGCGGGAAAATAGTGGCTGCGATCCAACGCGTTGCCGTGTGCCGGGGTTGGTGGATGGCGTAGAGATTCGCGAGACTCGAAAACTGTGCCGGGTTGACGTGGTCAGTAGATGGCAGTAGAGCAAAAGTGGGTTCGTAAACTCCATCAGGTCATGCTACTTCACCAAGCCCAGTACTCATTTGGACATCGCTCACTACTGATGTTAGCCAGAGGGCTGGGTTAAAGGCACGGTGGCACTGAGCGCTGCACCACCACTCAACCCCCAAATACACGACGCCATGCAACTTGCTTGAAATGAAATCATCGTTTTAATCCCGCCGCTCACCACATCGCTTCATCAGCTTCCTGGGCCTGCCGAGCGACAGGAGAGACCTCCCAGTTCCGTCCTCCTCCTCTGGTCCCTCCTCTTCCTCCTCCACCGAGCATTTCCGCTTGAGCCTCTTCTGAAGAGGCACCTCGTCAACCAGGCTCGCTCGCCCGTCGTCCACCTTTTCCTCCTCTTCCTCCGAGCAGCCAGCTCCATCCTGCACGGGCAGAGGAAGGGAAGGACGCAAGCTATGGTCAGCTGATGCAGCCTGTGCAGGGCCCGGGGCAAATCACGGAGTGTGGGCTTCGCTACGCCTTCAAACTAAACCGGAAGTATTACGTCTGACAACGTGACGTCAAAATGCGCCCCCCCCCCCAAAGCGCGGGGCCCGGGACGGTCGCCCCGATCTGCCGTGTACCCTCGGGACGGCTCTAACCGAGGGGGTGCGGGCAGCCCGGGTGGGTGGTGGGGGGGGTGCTCAGACTGGGCAGCTTGGAGTGGGCAGCATAGACGTGGATTGCTTGGGGGTCAGCGGTGGCTTGGAGGGTGGTGGGAGGTGATTTTTGAGGTGGGGGCAGGGGGGCAACTTGATAGGGGATGACTCGGGGTGAGAGGGCAATGGCTTGGATGTGGTGATTCAGATGGGGGCGGCTTGAATAGGTGGTTGAATAGGTGGCAACTCGGGTGGTGTGCGTGTGACTTGGATGGGAGGGCAGGGGGGCAGCTTGGAGTGGTGGGGCGAGGAGGGGTGGGGGGCAGCTTGGAGGGGCATGGCAGTCTGAGAGCAGCGCTGCACTCTTACCTCTTTCTCTGGCGCTGCTTTGCCGAGTGTCAGCTCCCCGCTGCTGCTGCTGGTGCTGGCCGTGGTGGTGCCGGTGGTGGTGCCGGTGGTGGTGCCGCTGGCGATGGGCGGCCGACCCAGCTCTCTCTGGAGGAAGTCGAGGGGGCTGCGCTGCAGCGCCGGGGACAGTAGCTCCGCCAGCAGCTGCACGGCGACACGCGGCGCGCGCGGTCAGAGAGAGGGCACGGGGCCAGCGGGGGGAGTGGCTTCCTGAGCAGGGGTGGGGTTAGTAGAGAAGTGGGCGGGGTTAGTAGAGAAGTGGGCGGGGTTAGTAGAGAAGTGGGCGGGGTTAGTAGAGAAGTGGGCGGGGTTAGTAGAGAAGCGGGCGGGGTTAGTAGAGAAGCGGACGGGGTTAGTAGAGAAGTGGGCGGGGTTAGTAGAGAAGTGGGCGGGGTTAGTAGAGAAGTGGGCGGGGTTAGTGGAGAAGTGGGCGGGGTTAATGGAGAAGTGGGCGGGGTTAGTGGAGAAGTGGGCGGGGTTGGTGGAGAAGTGGGCGGGGTTAGTAGAGAAGTGGGCGGGGTTAGTAGAGAAGTGGGCGGGGTTAGTAGAGAAGTGGGCGGGGTTAGTAGAGAAGTGGGCGGGGTTAGTAGAGAAGTGGGCGGGGTTAGTAGAGAAGTGGGCGGGGTTAGTAGAGAAGTGGGCGGGGTTAGAAGAGAAGTGGGCAGGGCTTGCAAGCAGTGGGCGGGGCTTGCAAGCAGTGGGCATGGCCGGCGTCAGAGAGGCCGATGATGATGATGTCAAGCATTTGACGCTTATGGCGGGACCCCGGGGTCCCATAAGCCCCCGGTTCTCGCATAAACTGCGTTGCGGCGTCATGTTATGTCTGTTGAAGGCGAACGACACGGCGAACTATTCCTCTCGACGAGCTCTACACGATGCGCTTGGACGACATGACAGGTGGGTCGCGGCGTTTATGTGCGCGGTGGGACAGATTCGCCAAAGTCAATTCATTACGATTTTGACTTCCGTGTTTTTCGGGACCCCGGGGTCCCGCCATCAGGTTCGTTGCGAGGTTGTTGTTAATTGTGCTCGTGCACCACTGACTAATGCAGCAGCAGCAGCGTCACAAAATTATTTGGTATTTCATCTTATTCACGTTCTGTTCCGTTTTGTCTTGTTCTCATTGAGGTATTCCCGATGGGGTGTTTTTTTAACTTAACGCATGTGAATATAGTCCCATCGCCGATTATACATTCGAACATCTGGAGGTGTCACGCTGAGATGTGGGAGCTTTTGTCGTGAATTGTGCGACATTAATAGCGAGTATTTAAACATCTGTGGGGAGCGGTGGCGCAGCGCTTGGCGCGCTGCACTGCCAAAACCCGGCGACCCGGTCGTGGGCTTTCCCTCGGTCGACTCAGTATAAAGTTAAGTGCCTGGTGCGGTGTGACAACATCAGCAGTGGGGAGAAATGGTGGCCGGGCGTGGAGATGGCCACCCACCCCCTCGTGTTTCCGTGGCGGCCTTAACAGGCGCTCGCTAACAGCACTTGCTCCAACAGTCTGGGCAGAACGTTCCGGCATGTCAGTAGTACCTTGTCCACGCAGGCCTTCACTTCCACGCAGTTGGGCCTCAGCGCCAGGCAGTGCAGGAAGGCAGTGAGGGCATCCTCGCGCAGGCCCACCGCCTCCTGGCTGTGGCCCTTCGTAAGGAAGCCCTGGAGGAAGGGATGGGGGTGGGGGGGGCAGCCATGGTGGCACACACACACACGTCTCTTGTTAGGATTGTGCAAACAACCTGCAGAGCCCCCGTGGGGGTCCGGGCACCCCCAGAATTTGGCCAGCACACGTACAACCACAGTCAACACACAGAAGACATGTATCCCCTGGATAACCTTCCCAGACCTTTGAGTCAAGTGGTATTGGCAAGCACCTATTAAGGCTGGCACGGCACCATGACTGGCCACCGTTGTCTCCCCAGTGCATGTACACTGCACCGGGTGCTTATGTAAGGCTAGGGGGGAGGCCCAGGACAAGCTACTCGCCACTGATATTAGCAAACCACTACGCCACCGCTCCCCACAGACGCGCAGACACAGAGGGCACACAAAGTCATTCAAGACACACTAGGAGAACCCCCCCCCCTCCCCAGGTTTCCACGTTGGACATGAATCTCCGCGTGTGCCGCAGTCGCCACCGCCGTGCCACCGCCGTGCCCCCGCTTTCTTCAACGTTTACAAACGAGTCATCGATGTACGCTGCATTCCACGAGAGCGTTTTGATGTCGGGTCGTGCCACACGCTCCGCCAGCCCCCCCACTTCCCCCTCCCAGCCGCGCCCCCCCCCCCTCACTCCTCATCCCCCCAAATCTGGCCACACTGCACGCGTCCTAACCTTGCCGTGAGAGAACGAGTCGGAAACTAGGTTCGCTGTTCGGTGTCGCTACAGTACGCGGTGCGCCGTTGGCACGGTTCGCTGTGCGGTGTTTGCCCCCCCCCCCGGCCCCCCTCCAGCCTCCTACCCCACACTGGCACCACTCGGCTCACCTGGTGCCACGTGGGCTCCAGCCGACACACGTTCTCCGCGTCGAGCAGGGCGGCCTCCCAGTGGCCCGTGGCGGCGTGGCACCGCGCCCGCACGCACAACAGCGCCGAGTCGCCGGGAGCTGCACGGCACCACACGGACACAACACGGACACCACGCGGACACCACCAGCAGAGACGCACCGGTGAGACAACGCGACGCCGATCCCTCTAGTGGACAGCTTCGTTGCAGCAGCCGGAGAAAGTCCGGAACGCTGCTCCGCAAATTATTAATGGCCCCCAGCCAACGCTTTTACCTCACCTCATTGCGTCCTAAACCCGTTCAAAGATTATGAAAGGAATATGGGGCACGTTAATATAGGATTATTTACGTAGAGGTGTACCTTGCACTCGAGTGGTCGTGCCTTAGGCTGATAGCCCCTGCTACGCACACAGCCCGTGCAGTGGTTGTCAGGCGACGCGTCGGGAGGGGAAATTAAGCCCTGGCTCTTGTCACTGTACGACCGAGACAGGCCGTGGCCGTGCCGAGCCAGCCCAACGTGGCTTAAAGATATGCCAGGTTGTTTTTTCCACTGCACCAGGACCCACGCCAGCCTTGATATGATGCTCCGTCACTGAGTGTGTCCAACCCCCACTGATAAACAGCAGTGATCCTCAATTACTTAATGTAAGAGATTAATTATATATATATAATACAATAGATTCGATTATGAAGGAGATAAATAGAGACCCAGGTCTGTTTTGAGAAAGCGACTTTCAGAATGTAAATATGTCTGTGGCACTTTGTTCACACCGAACGTAGCAAACTGTGATAATCGTTAAAGCAAAGTCAAAGTGGCTCTCTGCTCAACGGATAATTTATGCATTGGTGGTCGTCTCCTGTTGACAAGCCCAGAGTCAGTGGTGTAAATTCCCGATTCCTATGGTAAGGGCGTGTCAATCCATCGGACAATCTGTTTACTTGGTCACAAAGTGGTGCCAATTTTATATGGCACAGGAGAGAGGGATGATGGGCTGAGGCACCCCCTGCCCCCCCCCACACCCCATCACAAGCAGGATGTCAACTCACGGCCTTCTGATTGCGGGCCGTTCGCTCGACCTGCGGAAACACCTGGCCGGATCGTGATCAATTGGGGCGAGTTATAATCGAATAAAGATTACTCGGTCTCAATCTAGACCCTAAACAACAACAAAAACCCCAACACCTGAATTTAATCTGAACATTTGACGGAGGAGCAAAAGCAGGAACGTTATGGAGAACGCGAATAATACATGTGTGTGATTTAATCAACATGCGTTATTCACGTAATTATTGCTGCCCAGTACCTTAAGAAAGTAAACGTCCTGCAGCAGCGAGTGATTAATGGCCATTCTAGGCTTCGGGTACTGATTATAATGTATTTAGTTTTTACGCACAGGCCTTTGTTAATCCACTGCTAGATGAAGGTTGTCTGCAAGCCGTGCCGTTAAAACGAGTACCACCTTGTTGGGACGTCCACAATGGGTTTAGCCTATGGCCACACTCGGCCCCGCCATACGAATGTTGAATTTTCACCACCAAATGTCTCAATTATAATTTTGAACGCAAGGATATTTTATTTGTAACACTGACGCTGTTGTTGCTGCTCTTGTTGCTCCTGAAGTCCGCGATAATTACAAAAACGCGGGTGAGAATTTTACGGGAAATATTTAAAAAGTTTGTCAGATTTCCAGGGTGGCGAGCGGCGGCGAACAGGAGCCTCGCTGTGTGCGCTCGTGACGGCATTGCACGGTGGCGCGACACCGCCGCACAACAACCACCGCCACCACCGCCGCATCATGCCAATCGGTTTATTTGGAGGAGGGCAGTGGGGAAGGAGGAAGAAGGATGGGATCCCGAGTCGTTCTCTCAAGGTAAATGGTGCAACAGCGATGGAAGTCGCGCTTATGTAATTATGCGCCTTACATAATAACGCATTTTCATCAACTCGCCTTTATATTGCCTTTCTCGGGTTGAGGCAAAGTCTTTATGCCCCCCCCCCCTCCCACGCGAAGTCTGCCAGCTGCTGTTTTATTGTGAGCGAGGGGTGGCGCGGCAGTTTTGAAGACGGTGCTCAGTAAAAAATTGCATCGGGTGAGATGCTGGCTGTCGGTGTGAAGCCTCGTCACCATAAAGGTCGCCCTCCCCCCTCTCCCCCACCGTGAGCCACCGCCGTTGTCGCGATGCCTGCACCGCGCTCGGCGCCGGACGAGGGCTCGCCACGGGATTTACGCCGCTGCGGGAGGTTAGAGGCACAGCCCTGCAAATGCTCGCTCGCGCCCTTGCACACACGGGGAGATCTGTGCAGAGCCCCTGGATGGACTCGCGAGGGTACGTTGGCCCACTCTTCCACGCCCGTCTTGGAAGACGCGGTAGTAATACCCATCATCGTAATAAGCGGTAATGGATCACATCTACAAAGCGACTTTCTACGAGGAGCTCACAGAGCTGTACGTTGCCAAAATACATGGTGAAAGGGAGGGAAAAAAATCCAAGTATTGTGGCTTGTTTCGAGAACCCAACAATGACCCCACCGTACATGAGTCGAGTTAACGGAGACAAGTTTGAAATCACGACAGCCCGCCGGGAGCGCTGCCGTGAGGGAGACTGCATCACCGTGCCCCGCCCGAGTCGATAATTATCAAACAAAGTCGAGGCATCCCCGGACTGTCCTGAGCCAGTGCTCGACATTTCACATTCCCATGGCAGGGTCAGGCGAGCCATGGGGATGCTCGAGTGTTGGGTTCCTCACGCCCTTTGCCGATCCACTCTCGTTGGCTTTTTTCGAGAAATGACAGGGGCAAACAGAATCTCCGTGATTTATTATAAACGCCGGCGAAGCGTGGCGAAATGCGCTGTTCTTGGAACTGACGCCGAGAGGCGGGGAGAGGAACGAGCGAGGGATCTGGGAACCCCTCCCCCGTTCCTGGGCGCCAAGCGCAGTGGGCGGGGGGGTCAAGTGGGTGGGGGGGTCGGGCGTGGGGAGGCGGGGTGGGGGGGGCAGGTGGGGCGGGGCGGGGGGGCAGGCGGGGCGGGGCGGGGGGCAAGCGGGGCGGGGGGGCAGGTGGGGGGAGGGGAAGGGGGGACAGGCGGGGGAGGCAGGGCGGGGCGGGGGACAGGCGGGCGGGGCGGAGGGGAGGCGGTGGTGGTGGTGGTGAGGTTGGAAGAGAGGGGGTCATGCAAGTGGCAGGCGAGTTTGACAGCACACGTGTGCGCCCGGTTGCATAATGGCCTACTTACTGGAACGTCACTTGATTGTCTGTAATCGCTTTGTTGAAGGTCGGGGGTGGGTGGCCGGGGGGGTAGCGCAGCCCGCCCTGGCATTCGCGACCGGGGCTGTTTCCATGCAAAGTGCTGATGTCGCGAACCGGGGGGGGCGGGGGCTCGTGGGCACGTCGCCAAACAACAGCTCGATGTACGGAATCGCGCTCAACGAACGCGGCCGTTGAACTGCGATACATAACGCCCCTGGATTTATGCTGCCGTTGACGGTGGTGATTGAACGATTGATGATTTACACGAAATAAATAATGATATATTTCAGTCCCTTTGTCTTTTGTTATAATGTGCAGCTGCTGCCGGTATCATCCGCCCACGTCTATATACCGAGCCACCCGCCTTCATGAACCCTCAGTGAGCAGGATGGTGAAGTATAGTCACATGACGCCACCCAACCCACCCACAACCGGCACGCCCTCGGGGTCTCTATTTAACGGTCATGTTCAATTCTTATTCATGCAGAACCCGTGTAATCTTAATAGTGAGCGAGAGGGTTCGCGATCATCCTCGTCACACGCATCTGTCGATCATCCACTGCTGGATGAAAGCCTCGCCCGTGCCCCTTATCGGTCCGGGCGGCTGTCGTCTGCCCCATGCGTTGGAGCATAGAAGAGAAGTCCCGTGACACAGCACAACAACAACGTGACACAGCACAACAACGTGACACAGCACAACATCGTGACACAGCACAACAACGGGTGTTGCTGCTTTCCGCTGGTGACGGCCAAAGTCGCCCATCATCCCCGAGCTCGCAGTCAATAAACAACGGCTCACTTGCCCATTGTCTCAATTCCAGACGAGCGCGACTGAGTGATGTTGTGAATTGTAATGATGCGTGTTTATGGAAGGGGCATTGAGAGAGAGAGAGAGGTGAAACTTGACACAATTGTCGAGGAGTCGATGCACTTAACCTAAATATCAGATCACGGTCGTCTGTAATGAAGAGAGTCGGGGAGAGAAGCGGGCAGCGGAGTTCGCCTGCAGCATCACCATCATCACGATTTGAAGCTTTCGTGGACTGCAAGGATTCATATTCTTAGGTTTTTTTTGGTAAAGTCACGTAGGTAAAAAATAAAAATTAATAAAAGTAAAATAAAAATATTTTTTAGTAAAATAAAAATATTAATAAAAGTAAAATAAAAATATTTTTATTTTATTAATTTTAATTTTTTACCTACGTGACTTTACCGAAAAAAACCTAAGAATACCATCATCACGGTCAAGACGATGACCTTGGCCCAAAGTTGGTTGTCCGGTTCCGACAATAAAAGTTGTTGCGCCCGTCGGAACCGTTCAACAAACGGTTGCTTCAACATCAATCCACGTTCGCTCAACGTCGCAAGTTGTTCTGGTATCGCAAGGGGGGAGGGGTTGATTTCATGACAGCCATGCCAGTTCTTGAGGTTAACATTACCGCGTGTGTGTGTGTACGTGTCTTACGTGTGGCGTAGCGCAGCGGTCAGGGCACTGCGCTACGAAACCCGACTTCGATTCCTGTCCACGGCTAACGCCGGTGGCGTTTGATGGCTGAACCGATCCTAAGCGCCCCCCCCCCCCTTTCAAGCAGCACTCACCAGCGTGGTGAAGTATGGTCAAACACCCCCCCCCCCCCACATACCGCAGTGGATTGATGAAGTACTCTACGTTTTACGAGATTAGTTTTTTTGAATGTGTATTATTGTTAATACTGTCTGTGTGTGTACATGTGCAGTGGCGTGTGTATACTTTGTCTGTGTTTGTACATGTGTCGGGGCGTGTGTATACTCTGTTTGTACATGTGCAGGGGCGTGTGTATACTTTGTCTGTGTGTGTACATGTGTAGGGCGTGTGTATACTGTGTGTGTACATGTGTAGAGGTGTAATTGTGTATGGGCACGGATGGCTAACAAACACAAGGGGCGTGGTCAGGGCCGTACACAGAGGAGGTGCTCACACCGACGTCCGCACCTGCATCCCCCACGGGCCCCTCCCGGGGGCCGAGTGCTATAAAAGGTGGTGAGCCGGAGGGCTCGAGGTCGAGTATTAGCTTAAACCAGCGAAGAGCGAAGACCAGCTAGAATAGGCCCCGGAGCTCCCCTGGCTTGCTGTCCTTGTCAGGGCCAACCAGGGCAAGCCGGTGGCGTGGCCCCGAGAGCCCAGACGGACGTTCTTATAAGAGCCGGTCTGGAGACTCAGGGTGCCGGGATCCCAGCTTGACCAGGGCTGGGATAGGTAGCCTCCCCTAGCTCCGTAGTGGAGGACTCGGGCGTAGGTTAGTGGGGTTAGATGTTGCGTCTCCCTGTTAGACGAGTGAAGGGGACGATACCCCTCTAAGTGCTGTGTGTACCCGTTACTGTGCACAAGTTGGTGTTAATAAATAAGTGTGCCTCCGACTCCGTCGTCAAAGCCTCCTGAATAGTTACTACACATGTGTGAGGAGGTGGGGAGCGGCAGTGCAGCGGTCAGCGCACTACAAAACGAACCCAGCGATCCGAGTTCAATTCCCTCTCACGACCAACACCCATTACGATGATCTGAACAGGTTCTGGTGTAGACATCGCCACTAGGGAGACAAAGGCGGTCGGGCGTGGTTCCGGCACACACCACCCCCGCCGTGTGCCGTGCCGGCCTTCATTAGGCGCGACTCCCCAAACAGCACTTGCCCCCCCCACCAAGAGAGCCTTGTGAGGCTATCTGGGGGATCTTTGCCCGTGGTGGTGGTGGTGGGGGCGCACGCGGGGCGCTTACGTAAGACGCGCTGGCCGCGCCGAGTTCACCAGAGGACGCGTGGAGACCTCAGCCGAACCCGCGCCGCAGCGGCGCTAGCGCGTACACACATCACGCCATCGCCTCCATCGCTACCATCATCACCTCCATCGCCATCAACACCATCATCATCATCATCACCACCATCATCATCACCACTATCATCATCGCCACCACCGCCATCATCGCCACCATCATCACCATCACCACCGCCATCACCACCATCGCCACCACCACCATCATCACCACCGCCACAACCACCATCATCATCATCGATACCTGTCGCAGTGATGGTGGCCTTAAGAGGTGCTCGCTAATGTGCACTTGCCGGCAGCAGTCTGTAAAGGACGATACGGGGTGGGGAATGTTTTGTTGGTGATGGCGACATACGGTGGTGGTGGTGGTGGTAGTCACACGCAGGTTGTGTCGGCGTGCTGTGTACCTTGTGGCAGGCGTCATGCGGTACGCAAACTATGGCACACACACCACCACCACCAATAGCCGGGGTGATGGTGAGGCTGTGCGCAAACGATGGTGCGATGTTGTGCAGCAGTGAATATATATTCTGGATAGGTGATAACGTGGATGTGATACTGGCCGATGTACGTGTGTGGCTGTGTTACACCACACTACCCACCCCATCACAATTCCCTCTCGAGATCTGCTTTGAAAAAAATCATCATCGTCTTGTATAACTGAACTGATGTATCCCTCGCGTAACGCGCGCGCAAGAACCAGTCAATGCTGAGCAACGTGCAGGGGTGGACAACACCGCAGTCACCGAAACCAGTCCCAAAGAGACCCCCTCGACAGAGAAGCACCCCCCCCCCCCCTTTCAATACACCCCAAACCCGAAAACAAGGTCGGAGCGCTCAGTGCCGCGGTTACGCAAGGAGGGGGAGGAGGAGGAGGAAGGCGACTCGGTGAGGAGCAGTCGAGATTAAAATAACTCGGCCCCTTACACAACGCGACCGGACACCCCCCCCACACACACGCAGCTCCTCCCCGCCTGCCCGAGCCCCCACGCCCAGCCATTGTGCTGCAGCCTCACGCGGCCTCGCCAGAACCACGTGGCCCGCTAATTAATTGGCGAGAGTCAATTACTCGCGCCGGACAATAAGGCAACGTGGTGACGGGCGCGCGGGGAGCGGTGGCGCAGGGGTTAGCGCACTGCGCTACAAACCCGGCCACTCGAGTTCGATTCCCCCACCCCCCCTGATGACCAATAAGAGCAGCAAATATCTGAACCGGTCCGCATCGCCTAGGTCGATTCAGCCGTGAACACGAGTTCCCGGTGCGAGGTGTCAACATCAGCGCGAGGCAGATAAAGGCGACCCGGCGTAGTGCTGGCCACCCGTGACCTCGTGCGCCGTACCGGCCTTGGTAGGTGCTCGCTAACAGTACTTGCCCTAACGGTCTGTGAAAGGCTATACGGGGGGTCTTTGTACGAGTTGGCTGGCTGGAGGCAAAACGAGGTGTTGGTGGATGATGTAGACGCGTCTCTGTCGAGATTTGTGTAGATTTTGTGGAAGCCGCAGTAGTATTGGGGATGGCAGTACAGAAAGTCGGTTAGAGGACTCGACATTGACCCCCAAACCCACCACTCTTATACCCAGATTCCAATCCGGAAACCAAAAGCGAAACTATGATTACATAAATGGCACAACAACAAAACAACCCAAATTGCTCAATGAGAATGTGTACGTTGTGTGTGGTCGTGGGGATGCATCGTGGTCGTGTCCCTGTTACCCCTACGGGAGGGAGCGTCAGATGGATCCCTCTGTGCGGTTTGATGGTGCATCTGCCGGTCATCTCCGTCGGTCAACCCCATCGCATCTGGGCACCGAGGTGCACCTAGCCTGGCACAAGCGCCGTGGGGACGTCACCACGGCGCTTAGTGGCGGTTGAGGGTGTGTGGTTGTGTAAGTGTCCAAGCTGCGTATGTGACGTGTGGTTGTGCAATTGTTGTTTGAGAATGTGGTTGTGTAAGTAGAAATGCGTGTGATTGTCCAATTTTCATTTATGTATAAGTGCGGTTGTGTAAGTGTGATTGTATAAGTGTGTGAGTGTGGTTGTGTAAGTATGTTTGTGTAAGTATGTGTGCTTGTGTAAGTTTGTGTGTGGTTATGTGTGAGTATAGTTGTGTATGAGTGTGGTTGTGTACGAGTCTAGTTGTGCGGGTGTGTTAGTGTGGTTGTATAAGTGTGAGTGTGGTTGCGTGTGGTTGTGTGTGGTGTACTAGCCATCCACCCCCTCGTGTGCCGTTCTTTTGCCTTCACAGGTGCTCGCTAACAGCACTTGCCCCAACAGTCTGTTCAGGCTACACTGTAGGCAAACGATCGTTGTCTTTGTTGTACGAGTTGTGTCTATGTCTGAGTGTGCGGTTGTATAAGTGTATGTACGGGAGTGCATGATTGTGTCAGTTGTGTGTATGTGCGAGTGGGATTATGTGGGTCTTTGTGTGTGTGCCAGTGTGTGCACGTGTTCACGGGACAAACGACACGCCTATTATGTCCCTATCGCACGCTTATTCCCACCCCAATTAGCTCCCTGGTGTTTTAAGGCCACCTTAAAATGGGTTGCCCTAATTACAGTATACCTTTGGCAAGTTACGCAACTCTAAGTAGACGTTTTCTGAGAGGGAAAGCCACCTAGCCACCCCAAGATGTTTCACGCAAACACCCCACTGCTAACAGCTCATGTCCCATGGGCTGACTCCACACTCACTCCACCATCGACTTTCTGACTCAAACCAAACACTCGCTCATTCAACCACTCAACTCACTCATCATATTACCCATTCGCTCACTCAACGCTCAACCACTCACTCATCCACCACACTCACGTTGTCACACCACGTTATCGCCCACACAATCTCATTGAGTCACTCACCTTGTCACTTTCTCACCAACCCATCCACTCACCAACTCACGAATTCACTCCCTCTAGCACTGACCTAGTTTTCATATCAACTCATCCAGCCACCAAACTCACTCGCCCAACTTCTTACCCACCCACCTATCCATCCACTCTCACTCAACCCACCCATCCATCCACTCACCCACACCATATCACTCAGCCACACACTCACGCCGCACCACCAACCCCACAGCCACCGCTCACTCCCTTACCCAATTCCATCGCCGCCTGGCACTTTGCGAGCGCGAGCATCACACGACCCTCTTGAAGGAGCTCCAGGGCCTCGTGTCTCATGCGGGCCGCTTCGCTCTCCCGAGGGAACCACTTGAGCAGGAGTTTGCAGGCCACGATGTTGGGACGGTGCTCCCTGACGTCCAGCAGCTGGAAGGGCCGGCGGCACGCGGCGCACTCGCCGCTCGGCTCCTGCTCCAGGCAGCGGCGGCAGAACGCGTGGCCGCACGTGGCGCTCACGGGCTCGCTGAGCATCCCCCGGCAGAGGGGACACGAAAGGGGGTTTCCCGGACCCCACCTGACCCCGCTCTGGACTTTGGGAGTAGCGGCCGGGACACCGACCCCTTCTTCGGCCGAACCGGAGCCTCGCGGTGCGCGCTCGGCTCCCGCGGGGTCATCATCCGCGCGCTGCTGCTGATGATGCTGCTGCTGATGATGCTGCTGCTGCTCTTGCTGTTGGTTGGGAAGGAGACGTTCCTGTTGCTGCTGCTGCTGCTGAAGCTGGAGAAGGTGCTGTTGCTGCTGGCGATGAAGCAGATGTTGCTGGTGGTGAAGATGAGCGGGCTGAGCGTGCTGCTGCTGCGGGATGGTCGCGGGTTCCGACCCCGCACCGGGAGACACCGAGGACATCCCCTTGCCGGACCCCGTTGCCGAGGGGTCGGCTACGGGAACTTCCTCCCCGAGCCTCGGCAAAGATAGCGCGCACAGCGCCGCGGCCGCGCCCGCGCTGCTGTGCGTGGGCAGCCACGGCTCGGAGCCCTCTCCGCTGGACAAGGCGGGGAACATGCCGGAGTCCCCTTGTCTCCTCCTCCTCCTCTGTGCTCGAAGTCGCCGCGTTCCCCGCTCTCGTGCCGCCGGTAGCCTCGGCGGAGCAGGCGCCGTCTGTGTGCGAGCCGCGTGCGGAGGAGGTTCAAGCGGCGGGTTTCGGTGTTCAAGCGGCAGGGAGCCGAGCGCGGGCGACTATTAGAGGCACGCACCTCCCCGTGGCTCCACCCCCTCGGGCTCCCTCCCACCCTGCTCCCTCCCATCCCCATCTCCACCCTCCTCCTCCCACCACACAACCACTCGCCACGCCTGTGAGTAACCCCCCCGCCCCACCGTCACCCTCCCCACCCATGTCAGCCCCTCCCCTACACCCCTCGCTGAGTTCTCTCAAGCGCCCGGTGACACTGACGACCCCCCACCCCCCGGGTGTCCGGGAGGGAGCGGTGGCGTTATGGTTAGCGCACTGCCCTACCAACCCGGCGTCACCTCGGTTGGACTCGCGGCCACGGCTAACATTCGTGATATCTCAAATGGTCCGGGGATCTCTCCGTTACGGTCAACTCGGCCATGAATTATTGTCTGCTGCTGTGGGAATACATCAGGCCCGGGGAGACAAAGGCGGCCCGGGTGATGGTAGTACCCGCACGACCACTCACGTGCGTAAAAAAGATGTTCGCAAACAACGCCCTCCGTCTCCCAAAGGCTACCCGGGGGTAATGCTGTCTTTGTAAAGATGTCCCCATCGTGACGAAGTGCTTCATAGTTCATCGGATTCCTCCAGTCTAATACTACATATTTTTTATTCGGAATAAATGTGCGTGCGTGTGTGTTCTCGCATGCGTTTGTGCAACTATGCACGCACACAAGTCATTGAGCGTGTGCGTACACGTGTTCGTACACGTGTACCTAGCCTGGCACAAGCCCGGTGTTGACGTCACCCCTGCACCCAAACTCAGCACCCCCACGATGCGAGCTCAACTTGCCCCGTCTCCTCACCACGATCGGCGTGCGTGCGTCACGACAGGCCGGCACTGTGGCACACGAGGGGGTGGGTGGCCAGCACCACACCCGGCCGCCTTTGTCTCCCCAGTGGCGATGTGTACACACCGCACCAGGTACTCATTTGAGGCTGAATCGACCTAGGGGAGACCCAGGACCGATTCAGGTAATCGTCACTGGTGTTGGCCGTGAGCGAGAATTTAACTCGGGTCGCCGGGTTCGCAGCGCAGCGTAGCGCTAACCGCCACCACCACCACCAACTAACGCACACATCCCCCGCTCCCCCTCCCCCAACTTCCACCCTCCCAGCTTCCCCCACCCCACTCCGAACTTCATAACAGCGTGATCCGCGTTACGCAAGAGCGGACGAGGAGCCCCATTGGTCTCCTGCGCGCTCCGCTGGTTTCGTAACTCGGGTGTTGGCCCCGCGTCCTCGCCCAGTGGAACGGGCGGCGACGCCGACGCTTTTATATAAGAAGGAGAAGGAGGAGACGGGGCTCACGGAGGATACCACCCCGACACCCGCCCTTCTTCCCCCCCCCCCCCCCCCCCGCTTTCTCCATTCTCTGTCTTACCACGCGCACCTCCATTCCCCTAAAACTCCTCGACCCGGCACTTCCAACCCAATGTGCGTATTAACCAATACCACCACCACTACAGTCCCTTCTCCCTTCCCCTGTCTCACAGCCCCCCCCCCCCCGCAGCACAGTTGACCCGACACCACCTCCATCCACCCTGCACACTCGCTAATCCCCCCCCCGCCTGTCCTATTTCCACCCACAGCCCCCTCCCATCCTGCTTACCCTCTCCAACTCGACCCGACGCCCGCATTATTAACCCTGCGCACTCACAGACCCCTCCTATCACGCCGCACTCTCGCCGACCCCCTCCACACTCTGCCATCCTTCCCTTCCATCCTTCCCTTCCATCCTTCCCTTCCATCCTTCCCTTCCATCCTTCCCTTCCATCCTTCCCTTCCATCCTTCCCTTCCATCCTTCCCTTCCATCCCCCGTGACGGATCGCAGCCCCATCCGGCAGGAATCGGGACAACGGTGGTGGTAACCGAGCGAGTACGACTGAGTGAGTGTTGGGAGTGTGACTGTGAGTGAGTGTTGGGAGTGTGACTGTGAGTGAGTGTTGGGAGTGAGACTGTGAGTGAGTGTTGGGAGTGAGACTGAGTGAGTGTTGGGAGTGAGACTGTGAGTGAGTGTTGGGAGTGAGACTGTGAGTGAGTGTTGGGAGTGAGACTGTGAGTGAGTGTTGGAAGTGAGACTGTGAGTGAGTGTTGGGAGTGAGACTGTGAGTGAGTGTTGGGAGTGAGACTGAGTGAGTGTTGGGAGTGAGACTGTGAGTGAGTGTTGGAAGTGAGACTGTGAGTGAGTGCTGGGAGTGAGACTGTGAGTGAGTGTTGGGAGTATGACTGTGAGTGAGTGTTGAGAGTGAGTGTTGGGAGTGAGTGTTGGGAGTGAGACTGTGAGTGAGTGTTGGAAGTGAGACTGTGAGTGAGTGTTGGGAGTATGACTGTGAGTGAGTGTTGAGAGTGAGTGTTGGGAGTGAGTGTTGGGAGTGAGACTGTGAGCGAGTGTTGGCTGAGTGAGACTGTGAGTGAGTGTTCGGAGTGAGACTGTGAGTGAGTGTTGGGAGTGAGACTGTGAGTGAGTGTTGGGAGTGAGACTGTGAGTGAGTGTTGGGAGTGAGACTGTGAGTGAGTGTTGGAAGTGAGACTGTGAGTGAGTGTTGGGAGTGAGACTGTGAGTGAGTGTTGGGAGTGAGACTGAGTGAGTGTTGGGAGTGAGACTGTGAGTGAGTGTTGGGAGTGAGACTGTGAGTGAGTGTTGGAAGTGAGACTGTGAGTGAGTGTTGGGAGTGAGACTGTGATGAGTGTGTTGGGAGTGAGACTGTGAGTGAGTGTTGGGAGTGTGAGTGAGTGTTGGGAGTGAGACTGTGTGAGTGTTGGCTGAGTGAGACTGTGAGTGAGTGTTGGGAGTGAGACTGTGAGTGAGTGTTGGGAGTGAGACTGTGAGTGAGTGTTGGAAGTGAGACTGTGAGTGAGTGTTGGGAGTGAGACTGTGAGTGAGTGTTGGGAGTATGACTGTGAGTGAGTGTTGAGAGTGAGTGTTGGGAGTGAGTGTTGGGAGTGAGACTGTGAGTGAGTGTTGGAAGTGAGACTGTGAGTGAGTGTTGGGAGTGAGACTGTGAGTGAGTGTTGGAAGTGAGACTGTGAGTGAGTGTTGGGAGTATGACTGTGAGTGAGTGTTGAGAGTGAGTGTTGGGAGTGAGTGTTGGGAGTGAGACTGTGAGCGAGTGTTGGCTGAGTGAGACTGTGAGTGAGTGTTCGGAGTGAGACTGTGAGTGAGTGTTGGGAGTGAGACTGTGAGTGAGTGTTGGGAGTGAGACTGTGAGTGAGTGTTTGGAGTGAGACTGTGAGTGAGTGTTGGGAGTGAGACTGTGAGTGAGTGTTGCGAGAATGACTGTGAGTGAGTGTTAAGAGTATGACTGTGAGTGTTGAGAGTAAGTGTTGGGAGTGAGTGTTGGGAGTGAGACTGTGAGTGAGTGTTGGAAGTGAGACTGTGAGTGAGTGTTGGGAGTATGACTGGACGTGAGTGTTGAGAGTGAGTGTGGGAGTGAGTGTTGGGAGTGAGGACTGGAGCGAGTGTTGGCTGAGTGAGACTGTGAGTGAGTGTTGGGAGTGAGACTGTGAGTGAGTGTTTGGAGTGAGACTGTGAGTGAGTGTTGGGAGTGAGACTGTGAGTGAGTGTTGCGAGAATGACTGTGAGTGAGTGTTAAGAGTATGACTGTGAGTGTTGAGAGTAAGTGTTGGGAGTGAGTGTTGGGAGTGAGACTGTGAGTGAGTGTTGGGAGTGAGACTGTGAGTGTGTGTTGTGAGTGTGAGTGAGTGTTGGGAGTGAGACTGTGAGTGAGTGTTGGGAGTGTGAGTGAGTGTTGGGAGTGTGAGTGAGTGTTGGGAGTGTGAGTGAGTGTTGGGAGTGTGAGTGAGTGTTGGGAGAATGACTGTGAGTGAGTGTTGGGAGTGAGACTGTGAGTGAGTGTTGCGAGTGTGACTGTGAGTGAGTGTTGGGAGTGTGAGTGAGTGTTGGGAGTGAGACTGTGAGTGAGTGTTGGGAGTGGGAGTGAGTGTTGGCTGAGTGAGACTGTGAGTGAGTGTTGGCTGAGTGAGACTGTGTTGGGAGTGAGACTGTGAGTGAGTGTTGGCTGAGTGAGACTGTGAGTGAGTGTTGGCTGAGTGAGACTGTGTTGGGAGTGAGTGTTGGGAGTGAGACTGTGAGTGAGTGTTGATAGTGCGACTGTGAGTGAGTGTTGGGAGTGTGAGTGAGTGTTGGCTGAGTGAGACTGTGAGTGAGTGTTGGCTGAGTGAGACTGTGTTGGGAGTGAGACTGTGAGTGAGTGTTGGCTGAGTGAGACTGTGAGTGAGTGTTGGCTGAGTGAGACTGTGTTGGGAGTGAGACTGTGAGTGAGTGTTGGCTGAGTGAGACTGTGAGTGAGTGTTGCGAGTGTGACTGTGAGTGAGTGTTGGGAGTGAGACTGTGAGTGAGTGTTGGGAGTGTGAGTGTGAGTGAGTGTTGGGAGTGAGTGTTGGGAGTGTGAGTGAGTGTTGGGAGTGTGAGTGTGAGTGAGTGTTGGGAGTGAGACTGTGAGTGAGTGTTGGGAGTGAGACTGTGAGTGAGTGTTCGGGAGTGAGACTGTGAGTGAGTGTTGGGAGTGAGACTGTGAGTGAGTGTTGGGAGTGTGAGTGTGAGTGAGTGTTGGGAGTGTGAGTGAGTGTTGGGAGTGTGAGTGAGTGTTGGCTGAAGTGAGACTGAGTGAGTGTTCGGAGTGAGACTGTGAGTGAGTGTTGGGAGTGAGACTGTGAGTGAGTGTTGAGAGTGAGACTGTGAGTGCGTGTTGGGAGTGAGACTGTGAGTGAGTGTTGGGAGTGAGACTGTGAGTGAGTGTTGGGAGTGAGTGTTGGGAGTGTGAGTGTGTGTGAGTGTTGGGAGTGAGTGTTGGGAGTGTGACTGTGAGTGAGTGTAGGCTGTGTATTTTGTTGTCTGTGGGTGAGTGAGTGGGTGTGCGTGCGTGCGTGCATCTGTGTGTGTAAGTATTGTAGTGTGTCTGTGTGTGTGTGGCTCTATGGGGAGCGGTAGTGTAGCGGTTAG